TGAAAGCAAAAATCAACAATTGAATGGCTACTCCTCTTCCTATACGAAGGGAGTCTTGGTAGTGGGCTCTAATTTTCTTTTTTGTTGTCTGGATTATTCCAGGGTTGTAATCCAGATTTCTTTTTGTGCTCGCCAAAGTGTGAAACCTTGCTATCCCGTATTTTAATAAAGTGAAAGTTTTTTTTTCTTTATTTCTTATTTTGTTTTAATTTTTCTTCTTCTTTTTCTTTTCTGAACAGTTCTCTTTATACTGGTTCTAATGACATGACATGCACGACGGGTCTTCAACCTTGTCTAAAAAATCAATCTGATTTCAAACTTATAGTACAAGATTGTGATGATGAGTCGGAATACGATGAGGGTGAAGCCTTCGAAGAAATTAACAGAGAGTTGAGCCAATTTTAAGAAGAAAAAAAAAAGCCCAACTCAAATGACACGGAAGCCATCAATCTAGGGGATGCGGATGATATCAGGGAAGCTAAGATAAGCATCCACATTAAACCAAATATCAGGGAAGAACTAATCAAAGCACTTATTGAATTCAAAAACGTTTTGCATGGTCATACGACGACATACTGGGTTTAAGCACCAATATAGTGGTTCACAAATTGCCCACTGACCCGGCATTTCCTCCCGTCGAGCAAAATTGAGGAAGTTTAAAACCGACATGAGTGTGAAGATTAAGGAAGAAGTAACCAAATAGCTGAATGCTAAGGTTATTCGGGTCGCTCCATATCCTGATTGGTTGGCTAATGTGGTGTCAGGGCCAAAAAAGATGGAAAAATCAGGGTGTGTGTTGATTATCGCAATCTGAACAAAGCAAGCCCAATGGCGCTTTATGTTTAACAGATATCGAAGGGAAATGCATCGACATGGCTATCAATTCTGACGCAGTTAAGAGATATTATGTATGATTTCTTGTTTGTAATTGTTGTTTGTTTGTACTTAGCATTTATCGGAGAATGAAGTGACGGAGACAATTCTTTCTTCTATCCAAACACTTTATCTTTTGCTTCCCCTTTTGAGCCTTACTTATTCTTTCATATCCCTCTTTTTGGAATCAATAATGAAAATGAAAGAAAAAGAAAAAATAATAATAATGATAATAAAGACAAAAGAAAAGTCACAAGAAAAAAAACAAAGGAATTGGGAACTACGTTTGACCTGATTCCTCAAAGAAGGATACGTAGGCGCCCCACGGCTCGGTCATAGTGTAACATAGTGTGCATAATGTAACATAGTGTAACAAAATAAAAATCCCCAAGCAAAATTGGGGCAGAAGTTTGCGTTTGTAATTTTGGTAAGAAAGTTTGATTCCAAGAGTTGTATTACCCATCAAAATTATTTTTGAACTTTTGATAACCCTTTTTCCTTTTTAACCATACACAAAAACTCGTATTGATGTCCAAAAAAGACCTCCCGATCAGTATCTGAGAAGTGCCAAGTCAATGCAAATGGAAGTCGGGAATAACACTTTGATCCCCAGCAAAGAAGAAGATCATAAGCTGGAAATGAATTGATAGCCGAAAGAATCCCCAGCAAAGAGAGTCATATCGACAGCACTCGAATCCCCAGATGAAAAATAAAATAAAATGAGAGAGTCTTATCGGTGAAAACCTTCACAGGCACCATAAGGTGACGAAAGATGAGAGAAATAAAACGAGAGAGTCTTATCGGTGAAAACTTTCACAGGCACAACAAGACGATGGGAGTTGAGATAAACGAGAGAGTTTTATTAGTGAAAACCCCTCGAAGGGCACTATGAGGCGACAAGACAAGATTGGCGG